ATAAGAAAAGAAACAAACTAAACTATATTCCCCTATTTTCATTGCAGCTCTTCACTTTATGGACCCTTCTAGTCCCTTGACAACCTTGCTTTTCTCTTGTTCAGCACATATTCTTGGGCTTCATTTTTCCCCTAAATTTAGCTTAGATTTCTTCTCTTCATGTGCCAACTTTCTCAATTTCCTTCACCCCTTCTTCAGTGCTGCCATACTGTCCAATCCAAAGCACTAGATCAGTGCAGCTGTCTGCTGCCTTCCTTCCCTTCTGAGGCAACTGAGAACCGTGGGAGACAATTCCCAAGCTGTAGGTGGATGCCATTGCATACTGATGCCTCCCAACCTCCACCAGGTCCTCCTCCCTGCTGGGCAATTCATTTGCTTGATTCTGGGCACATCTACAATAGCATCTATGTCTGCATCCGTTTACAGCATGATATAGTGGAAAACAGAGTTTTGAAGTCAGACCAGACACAGCTGGATTTGAATCTATAACCTGCTGGCTGTGAGATTTTAGGCAAGTCACATAATCTTTGAAGCTTAACTTGGTTCAATGTAAAATGGGTATACCAGTAGTATAATAAGAATATGTGCCTCACAGTGTTGTTGACAGGATCAGTGAGATAATATGTGTAGGCTGGTATATGTCAATTATTTCTCTTCTCCCCTATTACCTCACTCCCTTCCTTCCTGGAAAATAGAACTGGATCTCAAATTGATGGCACTCAGTGAGCTGGCTGTTCAGGTTCATTTCTGCTCATGCAGATGATCTTAAATAAATCAACCTGTGAAACTTACAGTCTCAAAATTTCCTTAGCTCCCTTTGGCTCTTTAATACTCTTTTCTGTAGCCCTTTCCCTTCTTTACTGTCATCCATATAATGAAATGACTTGTCAGGATCATCCATGACCTCCTAAAGGATAATTTTGAGTTTATGTATTTCCTGACTTCTCTGAAACATTTCTAGTTGTTGATCTCTCCTTTTTCAGGACACTCTTTCCATGAAATCACTCTATTCTGGTTCTCCTCTTTGCTCTAACTCTTGTTATTCATCCACCACTTGAATCAGTTAATTCCCCTTCTTCTGCCTGCCCCTTAAATCTTCAGAGTTCTACCAGGCTCCAGCTTAAGCCTTTTCCCTCTTCCCTCCATCCATCCTTGTCAAGGCCAGGACTGGGGTGAGGTAAACAAGGCATTTAGTGCACAAAATTGAAGGAGGCACTGTCTTTCAGTGTGTGCAAGTACACTCATGCCCAACTTGCCTTGCTTTCCTCAGCCTAATCCAGCTCTGACTCTTCAACACAATTTGCTGAACAGTCACTACTGCCAGGCACTATACTAGGTGCCACAATATCCATGCTCACTCCTTGAATCCTCATAAGCATGGCTGTAGCTACTATTATTTGACAGTGTGTTCCAGATATTCATCCCTAGTCATATACATCTTCTGAATTCCAGATCATCTTTCCAGCTCCCTAACTGTACATTGCAATGCAACGAAAGAGAGCTGATGTTTATTTAATGCTTCTGATGTGCTGGGCACTGTGTTCAGTGCTTTGCATCCATTATTTCATTTCATCTTCACAGCAGTCCCAAGAGAGAGTTACTGTCATCTCATTTTCATGATGGAGAAAAATAGGTTCACAGAGGTTAACTAATTTGCCCCAAGCAACACACCAAAGTTCAGAGCCAAGATTTCAACTTTGGCAGTCACATGCACAGTCCATGCTCTTAGGCACTAGACTGAGTCTAGTAATCACATAAAATGCTCAAGACATACTCTGTACACTTTCTCTAAACCTGTTTTCCTATACCCAGATAGTTACGCCATATCATTTCTACTTCCTTAATGTTACTTGAATTCCTATCCCTCCTCTGTCTATACTGCTAATGTCTAGGTTCAGGCTTTCCTACCTTCCCTGGATGATTGCAGTAGCCTCAAGACTGGTCTCTCCTAGTCTTGCTTCCCCTTCCTCATACAGTTGATTAGAATATTGCCAGCCTGAGCATCCAAAATCAGCCATCAGTGGTATTTGTACTTCCAGTGACTCCACATTGGTTTCTATTGTCCAAACTTCTTAATTTAGGTCTTTCATTATCTGATGACCTGGCCCTGACTAACTATCCTGAGTATTGTCATATTCAACATTCAAAACAAACTGAGTTATTGAAAGTCCTCACATTCTTTGTGGACCTCGATCTTTGCACATGAGTGATCCTCTCTGCATAGAATGCCCTAGATCAGACATTTAAGAAGAGTTAATCTACTCATGTTTAAAGACCCAGATCATTTTTATTGTCTCTCTGTCAGGTATTTCACTAGTTAATGTATTTCCATGCTCCCTTAGCACCTGGTATACATTTTAGCACATTATATTGAAATCTCTCTCTTGACCTCATGGTGCTTTAGGCCAAAGAGGCAAGTCTGGTTTATCCCCACATCCCTAGTACCTTGCCATCACCTGGCACCATTATAGTCATTCAGTTTTGTAAGTATATGAATTGAAGTTGCATTTCATTCATTCATTTCATTCACTCATTCTGAATGAAAGACAGTTTTGGTCCATGCACTTTACAAAACTGAATTAGTTTCACAGAACAGTTTTGATTTCAACATCCAAATTGGTGCAATAAAATCTAAGGGCAGCAGCCATGAAATTGCAACAGCTCAGTAAATCATTCATCGAAACTGCTTTTAGAAGCCAATGACAATTTAACAGCAGCAGAGTGCTGCATCAATACTGTCCACCTTAGGAAAATTCCCCTGGCTCTCTCATCAAGGGCCTATTATCTTTGACTCCAATGACTCCAGAATCACACTGCCTTTCTCCTCAGTATTGTTTGAGGATCATATATCTAACCTTTTTTTCGGGTTTATCTCTTTTAGACATTATTTCCCAAGCTCTGAAATGTCAATTCCTCTTTTTTCTTCATAGCTGTCCTTTTTTCCAACATCTGAGGTCTTCAAGCGGTCAGCAGCCCTCTTAGAACCTCCATCATCTCAGCACTTATCCTGAAGGAAGGGCTTGGATCCTTTGTCCTGCTGATCTCACACTGAGGAGATATTTGTAAAGACTTAGTTTTATGTCCTGCTTTACGAGTTTTCCAGCTAAATGTCTTTATTCCTGGACTCTACCCACTTTGCTAGTTTGATTTAACCTTTGCATTCTTGAATCATCATTTCTGCATTTCAGTCTGACATCATGTCTGGAGTGGGAACCATGGGGCCAGTCTGCTTTCTGGGGATGCTTAGGGTTGGCACCCCTGATCCTGGCACTGTCAGCTACTAGATTTGATTATAGTAGGTTGACAAGTAAGTGTGATTAATGCTTCCTGTGAGAACATGCTATTTGTCTAAATGAGGTAATTTCTTTCCTGTGTGCTTTCCTTTGGGGACAGTGCATAAAGTCACTAAGGCTGTGAAAAAACCAAGTGACCCACATAGCATTAACCAATTTCTACTCTTTATGTCAGTTCTTAGACTCGCTTTCCACTCTTAAGAGCTCGAGTATTGAGTTTCCCCATGAATTAACTCTGAGATGTTTAAAATCAGAGATAAAATAACTTCTTCCTGATCCATGAAAAATGTTAGTGATAAGTAACAACTTACAAATAAAAAGTTTGTCTGTTTCAACTAAAACTTAAAATTGAAGGTATATAATTTCTTTTTTTTTTTAAATTAAAGGCATTATAGTTATAAATTTTTGAAATACATCATACATCATTGTTTTGTTTTGTTAATCTTCACCTGAGGATATTTTTTTCAGTGATTTTTAGAGAGTGTGGAAGGGAGGGAGGGAGGAGGAGAGAGAGAGAGAGAGAAAGACTGACTGGGGCAGGGGATCAAACCTGAAACCCAGGCACATGCTCTTGATTGGGAATTGAACCCATGACCCTTTCTGTGCACTGGCTGATGCTCTAACCACTGGGCACACCAGGGCCAAATACATCATATATCTTAAAATCAAACTTTTTATGCAGATAAAACCATTGTTTTTAGCTTTAATGATTCCCATTTTGATTTCAAAGTGGTTAGTAAAAGTAACCAAATGACAGTTAATTTTTTCTCCATAATTTGCTATTTTCTTGTGAAAGCATTTTCCCCCTTTTAATTTTTTAACCAAGAAGATGACTATTTTCTAAGAGAAATTGCATTGTCAAAGCATAAATCCAACAGTGTCCATTAAAAAATGTACCATAATGGGGAGAAAAAGGGACATCTGTAGTATTTTGAATAAAAATTTAAAAAATAGAATAAAATTTAAGAAAACAAAATAAAAAATAAAAATAAAAAACCCCAACCAACCAAACAAAAAAAATGTACCATAAGAATTGTAAATCTAGTTTTAAAAATTGAGGAGACGCAGATACCAGAGAAGCAGTACTTGCCGACACACATGCTGACTACTAGAATCTTAAACATTGCTGTCAAATCCTGTATTCATTATTTAGTGAAGAAGACAGCACCAGACATTTCTATATCCAAAAGACAAGCATACTCAATATATCTTTTAAAAGGAAACAAACCTGTACATTCAGCACTGAGTAGATATCCTAAAAGACAGATGGTGAGGAGGCCTGGTGATTCTGCCATGATCATGTTCAGGCACTGCATAACCTTTGCTAGTAGATTGTGCAAGTAGCAAGGTTGACCAATTGTTCCAAAGTACAAGCTGAACTGTATTTACTTCTGGGAAACAATGTCCATTTCCCTTAGTGCATCTTTGGGCTATTTGCGATGGCTTCTTGGGTTAAGTGAAGAGAATAGGCAGGAGCCACCGTTAAATTTCACCTCTCATCCCATGGACTTTTGCCCCTGTGCCTGATTTGAGGCTGAAGCAGGAAGTGACACATCATTAAAATAAGGGGAGGTATAATGGCTACAGTTGCTGTGCAGCAAAATTCATCAGTACAAAGGCATTTGGTCACCCTCCTTAAAACACCCCTAATGCTTACATACCTTGTGTCACCTGGTGGATCTGTTATGTTCCTTCTCACAATGAGGAGTTTATAAACTTCATTGTGCCGTGTACCCATATAGTGAATCATGTGGACCCTGTCTCAGAACACATGTATGTATGTGAATGTATGTGTATGCAAACATACTTATATATATAAAATAAATGAATATTGTATAGTGGTTAATATATTATGCCACTTCACATATAATATAAAAGACCCATAACATTATACCAACATTTACCTACTGTTCTTTGTGCTGTTGTTGTGATACATTTTATTTATACATGTTTTATTCCTATTTAACATTATTATTTCTTCTGATTTAAGTAATCTGTAATTTTACAAAGAAATTTAAAAATGAGAAAAAATATTTTATATTTAGCCACATATTTGCTGTTATGATATTCTTCATTTCTTTGTGTAGATCCAAGTTCAGTCTGTTATAATTTTTCATCACTCTGAAGAATTTTCTTTAATAATTTTGATAGTCTAGGCCTTCGTATGAAATTTCCCAGCTTTCGTTTATTTGAAAATGTCTCCATTTTACCATTGTTTTAAAAAAGTTATTCGGCTATGTATACAGGTTGATTTTTTTTCTTTCAGCACATTAAAGATGTCATCCTATTGCCTTTTGGCATGCATTGTGATGAGAAGGCAGTAAGTTTTCTTAACATTAATTTTTAGTGCCTGGCTGGGCATGGCTCAGCGGTTGAGTATCAGCCTGGGATCCAGGCAATCGGTCTTTGATTCCCTGTCGGGGCACATGCCCGGGTTGCGGGCTCTATCCCCATTCAGGGGCCTACAGGAGGCAGCCAATCAATGACTCTCTCATCATTGACGTTTCTCTCTCTCTCTCTCTCTCTCTCTCTCTCTCTCTCTC